GAGTCAAACACTTTATGGCATTCGCGTTTAGGTCACGTAAACTTCAAAACATTGCGGAAGATGCTAATCTAGAAGTATTGCCAAAATTTGAATGCATTAATTCCAAATGTCAAATATGAGTGGAATCAAAGTATGCTAAGCATCCTTATAAGTCCGTTGAAAGGAATTCAAGTCCTTTAGACTTAATTCACACAGATATTTGCGACATGAAGTCAACACCATCTCGCGGTGGGAAAAACTATTTTATTACTTTTATTGACGATAGCACGAGATACTGCTATGTTTATTTACTTAATAGTAAAGATGAGGCAATTGATGCTTTCAAGCAATACAAGAGTGAAGTTGAAACGCAACTAAACAAAAAGATCAAAATGATAAGAAGTGATAGGGGTGGCGAATATGAATCTCCTTTTGAAGAAATTTGTTTGGAAAATGGAATTATTCACCAAACAACTGCCCCTTACTCTCCACAATCTAATGGAATTGCGGGGAGGAAGAATCGAACATTGAAGGAGATGATGAATGCATTGCTAATAAGTTCTGGCTTACCACCAAACTTCTGGGGGGAAGCTATACTTACAGCTAACCGGATAATCAACTGTGTACCTCATAGTGAAACACAGTCCATTCCTTATGAAAAGTGGAAATGAAGGAAGCCTAGCTTGAAATACTTCAAAGTGTGGGGGTGTTTAACTAAGGTACAAGTTCCTAAACCTAAAAGGGTTAAGATAGGTCCAAAAACGGTTGATTGTGTGTTTATTGGATATGTAACCAATAGCAAGGCATATCGTTTTCTGGTTCATAAATCAGAAAATCCTGAGATTCACATTAATACGATAATAGAATCAGATAATGCTGAATTCTTTGAAACTATTTATCCGTATAAAAAGAAAAGTGAAGTGACCTGCCAAAAGTCAAAACGACCTCGGCAGGAAATAACAGATGGTATGCCTAATGAAGAAAATCCAAGAAGAAGTAAACGTCAAAGGATATCTACTTCATTCGGTCCAGATTTTCTGACTTTTCTGTTAGAAAATGAGCCTCGTACCTTCAAGGAAGCAATGTCTTCCTCAGAAGCACAATATTGGAAAGAAGCTGTCAATAGTGAAATAGAATCCATATTGAGCAACCATAACTGGGAATTGGTTGATCTTCCTCCAGGTGACAAAACGTTGGATTCTAAATAGATTTTCAAGAAGAAAATGAAGGACGATGGTACTATTGACAAATACAAGGCAAGACTTGTTGTCAAAGGATTTAGACAACGAGAAGGTCTTGACTATTTTGACACATACTCGCCGGTAACAAGAATTACATCTATTCGGATGCTAATAGCGTTAGCCGCCTTGTATGGTCTTCAAATCCATCAAATGGATGTAAAAACAGCCTTCTTAAATGGTGATCTTGAGGAAGAAATTTACATGAACCAACCTGAAGGGTTTGTGGTTCCGGGAAAAGAAAAGAAGGTGTGTAGACTTGTTAAGTCCCTTTATGGACTAAAACAAGCACCCAAGCAATGACATGCGAAATTTGACCAAACAATGTTGTCAAATGGTTTTAAGATTAATGAATGTGATAAATGTGTTTACATTAAGAATGTTCAAAATCATGTAGTCATTGTTTGCTTATATGTTGATGATATGCTAATAATGAGCAAAGACATTGCCGACATTCAAGCTACTAAGCGTATGCTTGCTAGTAAGTTTGATATGAAAGACTTAGGAGTTGCCGATGTAATTCTAGGAATTAAAATCCAGAGGACTCCTCAAGGTCTAGCTTTGTCTCAATCACATAACGTGAAAATGATACTTGAAAAATTCAAACACTTGGAATTTAGAAGTACAAGGACTCCAATTGACTTAAACCATCATCTTATGAAGAATAAAGGCGAAAGTACGTCTCAATTGGAGTATGCTCGTGTGTTGGGAAGTCTAATATACATCATGAACTGTACACGACCCTTGTGCAATAAGTAAACTTAGTCGATTCACAAGTAATCCCAACAAGCATCACTGGGTGGCTATGAAACGAGTTCTGGGATATTTGGAGTATACCCAAGACTACGCTTTACACTACAATAAATATCCTGCCGTTATTGAATGATATAGTGATGCTAATTGGATAACCGGCTCATCAGAAACAAAGTCCACAAGTGGATATGTGTTTATTATTGGTGGAGGAGCAGTCTCTTGGAAGTCTTCCAAACAGACATGTATTGCTCGTTCTACAATGGAATCAGAGTTTATAGCATTGGATAAAGTCGGTGAAGAAGCTAAATGGCTTCGGAATTTTTTAGAAGACATTCCGTTCTGGCCGAAACCTGTGGCTCCTATTTGCATACATTGTGATAGTGAGGCTGCAATAGGACGGGCATGGAGCGTTATGTATAACGGAAAGTCTCGTCATATAAGACGAAGACATAATACCGTTAGACAACTACTTTCTAGTGGAATTATCACTATTGATTATGTAAGATCAAAGGATAATGTTGCGGATCCACTTACAAAAGGCTTAACTAGAGAGGGAGTTGAGAAATCATCTAAGGGAATGGGACTATGGCCGAGGACAAGTCAACATGGCGGTAACTCTACCTAGAATTTTGGTTGTTCCAAGATCTAGGTTCAAGGAGCTCAAACAAAGTTATGATTCACTGGTTCAACATTGTCAAAATAAAAACTTTGGTCCATTCTTGTGATGAAGACAATGTTCAGTAACAAGGATAGAACTTTACACGTTCTTTAATGATTACCTAAGTTTGATGAGGTATTTATCAAATAGTGTCAATCTAAAGGATTACACGTTTAGGAATCACCTATGTAAGTGTGAAGTGGAAGCCGCTTCAAGGAGAATTCTGTAAGGCCAATTCTCTACGCACTTATGAAACCAGGCGGTGTTCATGGCTAAAACGAACACAACAATGAGAACCAAAAGACGGTTAAGGGTTGGTTGTGTGACATATGGTTGTCTAGGTATACACTAAAGTTCGACGGTTCAAAGATATCAAATCTACCGATTGACCGAGTATATCCGACATATGTTCACTACGGAAAGTTCAAAGGGAAACCTACTTATCCAGATGCAATTAATCCTTACTTGCAAAATCACATAGCTTTCATCTATGATCTTTCTTGATACAGCCATTCCCATTCATGTGGGGGATTGTTGGACTTTAAGCCATTGGGCTTTAAAGTAGAAGAAGTGTGAATTGGAAATGGAGGGAAATAAAATGGAGGGAAAATGAAAATTTGAAGAAGCGAACTTTTGTCTTGCACTTTGTCCCTCATTGGTGAGGGACAATCACATTTGTGTGCTTATATATAGATTCACTTCTTAAAGCTCTTAAAAAGAGTTGAAGAGAATGAACCCTCGCGCCGTCGTCGTCGCTCGGCTCGGCTTCGGCTTCGGATTTTGATTTTGATTTGGATTTGTCAAATGATCGATAAGATTATTTTTTGGACAAAATTTATTTAATTATTTAATAATTAATTAAATGTCAAATCACTACTGAAAATACGCCAGAACCCTGCTGAAAGTTCAGAGGGCCTAGCTGGCCGCGGTTCTGCCACGACCGCGGTAGAATCGCGGCAGTCGACTTTAGAGAGCCTCTCTGGCCGCGGTTCTGCCGCGATCCGCGTATTTTCTGAAAAGGCACCTCTCCAGACACCTCTTCTGATATTTGCCTATAAATTCTGAGGCAAGGCTGCATCTTTAAGATAGGAAAAACACTCTAGAACTTCTCTCTTTCTGAACATACTGCATCCTAATTCGCATTCTCTCTCTCTCAAATTCGTAAGTGTGATTTTGCTCCGTTCTTTGAGTTCGTTGGTATCCTGCAGTTTGTATTGCCACTGTTGCAGGAAGGTTTATTCCGTTTTATCCTAGGAGGATTTAATCCATTACCTTGGCAACGTGTGAGGGGGTTAAAATTCCTTAAAGACGCACAAGAAAATTGTGGACTCAAAATATTTTTGATTCTTTACTATTTTATACATTTCTTTATTCTTTTAACAGTTTTCTGATTTTTGTTTTAACACAGTAACGATCACAAAATTTTCTCAAGGTATTAAGCTTACCAATCTAGAAGCCTATCAGTACTTTTCCTTGACTTGCTCTCTTCGGCTCGCTATCCATGAGGACGTCATAAAAAAATCTGAATCCCACCAGACTCATACTTTGACCCACTTAGACAAACAATTTGAAACACAAATTCATTTCAGGACTTATTAAACATATGTATTACCTTGCAGGCTAACATATTGGCATTCAAATTAAATTCAATGAAATAGAATTAGGGGAATCTTAAAGGAGAAACAAACCAATAATATGATTAATTAAAAAGGAATTAAATACGTACTAGAACGACGATCCTTCACAAAGAATGGTTGTGTGACTGCTTGCATAATTCTTGTTCCATTGTAAGGATACACAGCTCTTGCACATAGTCTCAACTCACGTTTTGTCATAGGCACTCTGGTATGTTTGAATGAAATATGACTTGCAGAAACACTTCCATCTTTCAAGGTGACATGAGGATCTCCCCGTATCAGCGACTTGTCACCACCGCAACTTGTAAAATCTTTCTCAAGGACAAATATTTCCACCTTTGCTGATGATTCAGGCCCAGAATTGATGATATTCTGAGTAAGGGGGTCAATTAAATGTAGATTTAAGGTGCTGCCCTTTTCACCTATGGGGATTCCAGTAAAAATTGGACCATTTATGTTGTTTGAAAACTTCAATTTTAAATGTCGTGAATCATACGACGGATCAGAAGGATTTAAATTTTCTTGCGCTTTCCTGAATAAGAGGTACAAATCTCAATATCATACGGACAACAATAAAAATAACAGCAGCAAAGGTACAATAAATAACTGTGAAATATAAAAAGTGACGCTTATCATTGCCTTGGGCCGATTGAAATCTCTACAGGACCCGGTTCAACTCCTGCCGCCTGTATTTGCACAAAGAACTTAATTAGATGACCATCGTAAAAGTCTTTATGTCAAGAGTTTAATTTCAATATATAGACAGTGTAAAAGACGATTTGCACCTACTAGATTTACTTAAAGCTAATTACAAGTAAGTTGATAAAGAAAATGAAATTGGAAACATAATAATTGCGCATTATACAGCAGGTTAAAATACAATATTACTGTAAAACATTTTATAATAATAATTCCTAATATCAAATAATCCAAGGCACAAACCAGCGTAATAATTAACTTTCTCAAAATGTCGAAATGAAGAGAAGCCATAAACACCAAAGTTTAGAAATTAGAAAGAGATTAACATTACACTGCAGTGTGCGTGTGTTCCGTTGAACAAAGCAGCTGAGAACGTTAGAAAGCAGTAAAAGGACTGAATTTGTTCACATTAGGCAAATTATGTCATGGAAGCTCCCGTAATTAATTATTTGACTGCCCCTATCTGAGCCATTAGGGTACTGGTAGCTGAAATAAATGTGATCATTTGGGATGAAGCATTAATAGTATCCCTTGTAACTTTGGTTGAAGTGGAAATAAAAGACCTAAGTATAAGTCGCACTAAAAGAAGGTCATTACCAATTAAACGACCTTTGACCGGAAAATAGAAAAAGAAAGATTCTTGGTCAAAGATTTTTCAGCATAACAAACGGATAAAACATTACTTTGACTTTGTGTGAAATTTGCTCTAAATTCAACTTTCTAAATCTCGACTTAATTGTGTGCTTTTATCTTCCATTGTTTATTTGTTAGAGCGAGGCGAGAGAGAGAGATCATATATTAATTCTCTCTTAAAAATGAAATTTAAAGATTCCGAAACTGAATGAATCTTATGAATCTAAATTGAATTCCCAACATGTCAATACTATCATCTATAAGAGAAAATCTGAATCAAAGTTCAATATTTGTTCACAAGAAACAAAACAATGAGAAATTTATTTTTGACTGCAGGAAAAGAAAAAGAAAAAGAGAAAAGTCCTCCAGACAAAAAACTCTGTCCTTTTTCAGATCGGCATCGGACAAAGAAGAAAATCCATTTTGATAGAACGTGATGTTGGTCACGTTTCTGACCACCACCGTAAAAAGTGATGTGAAGACTTTTGCATAACACCAAAAAATGTTACTCCATTAGTATATACTCTAAGCTATTTTAAAGTTTAATTTTGTTTTCACATTAATCACAAGGGGTTGTTAGGTTCCTGAGATCCTTTGATCCAATCGTGAGATCTGATCAATGAATAACCACCCGACTACAATCTAATAATCCTAACCCTAAATTAATAATTAGTAGTATACTAAAACAAAGAAAAAAAAATACCGTGTGAAAAAGGTACCTTAAACTGTTGAGGAAAACCTATTTTAACATCAACCTAAGCACCAAGGTACAAATAAAATACACAAAGTTCATGCGTATATATAAGACAAGGATTTAAGTTATATATAAATTGCAATATAATTCTTTTTACACAATGGCGAAACTAGGAATTTTCTCAAGGGTGTTCAAACTTGAAAGAAGTGATAAATGGTGTTCATAAGTATGCCTCTAAAACCTAATATTTTATATATATACGCAATATAAGTTTTCGGCAAAGGGCGGTCAATTGACGCCTTTAAGACATAACTTCGCCCCTACTTTTACACTGTCATTTCAAAAATTACTTGTAATTATCTAACAAGTAACATATGATAATGCATGTAAATATTTTTATACCATCTAAAATTAAAACTCAATAAAGAACCATATAATATACTACTCATATAGTTAGTGAAGATGGTACTCACAGCTGGATCAACGCAAAGCCGCCTCATTGACTTCAGTAAACGCACGACTCGCATAGCCATAACAGACCTGTTCAATGTCCAAAAATGAAGTATAATTAGCAGAGCAATTAAACAGAAATGGATGAATGAAATAATCAGTTTCTAATCTATACAGTTAATCCCTAGAAGACGTTCTCTTCAGATTAAATATATAGCAATTGACAACGCTATCAGATTTCTGAAAAAAAGATAAAACCAAGAAAAATGAAAAGCAAAGTTAATAAGCAAAAGACCCAGAAAGAAAGAGAGTATGAAAATCACAGACTTTCTTAGTTTGCGGAGTTTTCTCTTCCTATGAAATGAAGCCGAGACAGGAACAGAAAAACTACGAGAATTTTCTCCAAGATCCATAGCGCATGTGTTTTTCTACAACTTTATGTGTTTTCTGTTAGAACCCTAAAATAGAGTAGTTTTTGGAGTGTATTTAACTAAAAGTAGTACTAATTAAAGAAAGGGTTAGCTATTTATTGTTTAACCAAAAAATCTGAGTCTTTGGTCAAAGCTAAAAAGAAATTCGGGTTACTGATAATCAGGAGACGAAAATAAAATGTTTTTGAGAATGATGATAATGCAGTAAATAGATCTCAATAGTATTTCGTGTCTCTACAGATGTTGAGTCCTTCTCCTTTTATAGTTGATTCTAGGAGAAGATGTAATGCATTTGTCTTAATGAAGCAATTATGAGCAATAAATGACATTAAAAGAAACGTTACACAATCATTTCTATTTAATTCAAATATTCTAACGTATTTGATATTTAATGTTGTATTTAGACTCTTTTACGTCATCAGATTCGTATCTTCAACTTCTTCCGATCTTCGGTCTTTAAATGACTCAAATAGGTACGAGACTCGTACATATTTTAGTAACGGTCCACACCTATGTTGCTTTCTTTTTCCCTTATCTGTTGTCGCCTGTGCCTCTTGGCTATTTATTGTGTTTTGACCATTTGACCAGTCCACGTGTCATGTCACGTCACCTCCAATGTAAATTCAGTTTTTTTCCAATACAGATAGTCCCCCCACTTTCCATTTATTTATCAATTAAATAATTGGAAAGTGGATCTTCATAAAAAGGGAATTTCTGCCGTAATTAATATTATGACAATACTGACGCTTCAATTGTCCCTTCTATTTAATGTTTTACGTACGTGTCACTTTCTGATTGGTTCTGCAATTCTACACCCTTTTTTCGAGACTTCTTCATTCACACTATTCACGAAATGATAGTTGCCTTTATTATAGGCTTTCCATCATTGCACTTCTAAGTTTGACGGTTGTCATTATAAGCATTTTTAACCCTCTTTCGTTTACCTTCTTCTTCATAGATCTTTAACAAGCAATTTCTTACTTACTTGTATTTTCTCTCCCCTTTAGTACATCCTTTTTCAACAATGTCATCTCCAAACCCTAACCCTAGAAAAGTTCCAATTCTCGATCACTTCCCCAATGCCCCCGTAAGACATAGGAGAGGCAGAGGAGGTAGGCTTCGAAGCTTGGGCCTAAGGTCCGCTCGTGGTGGTTTATCTAGTCCTGCTTCTTCTTCTTCTAGTATCGGGAGTTCTATTCTGAAGACCCCTTCTTCTAAAGGTAAAGAAATCTTTGATTCTTCTCAAGAACCTTTAGTCGATGAAATTGTTCCCAGTGATTTGTCTTTTGGGAGTGATAGAACGTCTCTTCAAAAGCAAATTGTAAATTTAGAAAAAGCT